GTTGTGATTTAAAGATTAAAAAATAAAGACTGACTGATTATAATAACGTTTTCTTTATTTTTTCCCTCAAAACATAATCCTTGTAAGGAAATTTCGGTTTCGGCCGAAACTGAGACCGTTGCCGAAAATCGTTTTCGGTCGGACACTAGACAACACTATCACTGTCAGTAGGTCTCCAAAACAGGTGTTCATGATATGCAAACTGGCTTCAATTTTTTTTCCCGAAAATGAAGTATCAAGCTTCGAAGAAACACAAGCAAAAAAAGTTGTATTTTCAGTTACTAAATCTAAAAAAAAAAACTACAAAAAAGGTCAGTGGAGTTGTTTTTTTTTCTTAATATTGTTGGCTGTGACGCCAACTGAGACGCTACTGAACCTAATAATTTCAATCGTTTCCAAAAAAATATGTATGACAATCCACAAAAAACAATTTAGTCAATCTGCTCTCCAATAGATAATATGCAGAATTAATTGATGAAAAGGTATTATTTCTTGCAAAATTATCTTCGAAGAGGCACATTTTCAGGCGGTTTTACATTTCATTTCTCAGTAAAACTGTAGCTAATGAAAAAACAAAAACAATGATGGGCTTTTCTAGTGTCAGTAGGCTCGATACAAAGTAATAACTTGTTAGTTGATGGCTGGTTCGAATGCTTGAAGCATGAATTTTTTTCAACCTTCATTTTTGTTTCTTATAAGAAAAGTCTGTAGCATCAAAACTAAGCGTCAATAGTTGAGGAAAATAATGTTTGTCCCTATTATTTGAAGTGAAAAAAAAATTACCACTTTACCAACTCAATAAAAGGCAAAACTGGAACGAATCTCTAGCGTAGAATGAATGCAAAACAAGCACTTTTCCTGAACACCAGAACTGCAATACTTCATCTTCTGAAGACGCCAACTTGGGTGGTGAAACGCGCGTCGAAAAGAGTATTGCAGTTCTGGTGTTTGGGATAAGTGCTTGTTTTGGACTTTACAATTCACTTTGTTCATTTACTTGTAACATACTTTAGAAGTTTCACCAGTATAGTTTTGAAAAAAATTGAGCTTGATGTATAAAGAGTAGTTTTGAAACAATTCATCTACCTCCTATTGATTTTGTGGACATACATTGGGTTTCAACAGGATGGTTGTTCAAGTCACAATGCATGACCATTGACACAATTGTCAAAAAATATTGTCAAATGATATCTACTCGGGGTACGATCAAGTGGCCTCCCAGATTACCAGATCCATCTACGAGTGATTTTTTTTCTATGGGGGTACATGAAAGAATGTACCTGTCGGCATAAATTTCAGGGAGCTACAAATCTTGATAGTTTTTTCTGAAATGAATGTGTTCAGAAGTACACGTTATGTTTTTGAGTTTTAGAAAACATTTTTCAATTCGAATCATGTATTTTATTTTCAAAATCGTAATGGCAAAAAGGATACACAGCCCCAATTTTTTTTCATTGGAGAAATTATTTGTTAGTTATCACTGCAAATAATATCTTGCAGACAATGGATTTTTGCGTCGCAAAGTCTCTTCCTTAAAGTCACACCTACTAGCATTTTCATACAGCACGGTCTAGCCACCGTATAGAAGTAAACACAAGTAAGTTCACTCTCCGCCATATTTGGGTCAAAATTCCCCACCTCGAATTTTATGCTCAGTCGACCTACAGCGCAACCGACTGAATCTGAAGCTTTTATCAAGCGAGCCAAGTTGAGGCATGAAATATTATTGCAGAATGAGTCGTTGTAAGTGGTGGTTTTGTATTTGTGAAAAATTCGTGACTAGTTTCAAAATGAAGAAGTGTCGAGCTGTGGGTTGCTGCAATTTGCAGGGTGATGTCGGCAATCATTTTTTTCAATTTCCAACTGACGAAAAAAGGTATGTTTTTTTAGTATTTATTATGTAAGATTGAGGGAATGAACATAAATCAAAGTAAATTTTTATAGAATTATAGACCATAATAGTGGGGTCATTAATATTCAAAAATGTTTTATGAAATTAATTTGATGAAATTGTACTTTACGAATTGTATATGCCTCACAAAATGATATTGTGGGATATCCAACAGAAATAACGAACACATTTGGAGCATTAACAACCCCAGGCAGTTCCGAGAAATTCTACCTCTAGTGCGACTTAGTATTAACGTGTGGGCAGGAATTTACAAAGATAGAAGTTTGGGTTCTCATTTATTTGACAGAATTCTGAATGGAGAAACCTATCACCAGTTTTTAATGTCGATTTTCGAAGACTATTTGGATGATCTACCTTTGGCTAACTATAACACATCTGGTTTCAACCTAATGATTTTGCACCGCACACTACCAGACGAGTATCTAATTACCTGACTGAAAGGTTTGGTGATAAATGGATGGAAATAATGGGCCGGTGAGGTTGCCAGCGAGGTCTCCAGACTTAAGTGTTATGGTCAGAGGGAATATCAAAATATTGAGGACCTTCAACACAGCATTGTTAGAGAATTCAGAAGGTTGAGGAGGAGGGAAATTAATTGTGCGAAGTTGTGTTGGCATTGCTGCCATTTGCTGTGATTTACTTTTGCCTTTACATTTTAGTTAATTATTGTTATTTGTTCAAAGTTCTATTTTCATTTAAAAGGACACTATGTCTAATTTACCTCATACACACCTCATTTATCAAATTTTGATTGTTGATTCTGTCTCCATATTTTTTCATTGTTTTTTCAAACGAACCAAACTCGGTGAGGTTTTGATCTAATAACTTAACATAGTCCAATGTGGTTGTCGTCTTTCGGGATACAAGTTTAAATACATTTCCGATGTCCTAACACTGTTTCATTCGTGAAAGCCATTTTTCGCCAAAAATTCAATGACTTGTACAATAACAAAATGTCATTGAGTGTAACAAATTGAAAGTCAAATTTAGAAACATCAAAGTCATAGCCTATTATGATAAGAATTATTTTTTTTGCAATATCTCCAATTTTTCGAAAAAGAGTGATAATTTATGACAAAGATAAAATATGGTTCTATTCAAAACAGAAAGAATCCAATGAAGTTGATGGTGGTGGCCGAAAGACGAAAAGTCGCAAGGAAAAAGTGGCAATGTGGAAGTGAAATTTATTCTCGAATCCTTTGAAAAATGAAGCCAGAAAAAAATAAAAAC